AGCCTGGGTCTCAGGCAACTCCCAAGGGAGCAGTGGCTGTCTGGGGAGGGACCTCTGGAGTCAGGGCTGGATGTCCCTTTTGGGGAGACAGTCACACAGAGGGGATGCCTGCAGGGCTGGCCAGGAAACCCAAAGGCTGAGAGGAGGAAGTTGAGGGGTCTGTGTGTGAGACCCCTTTTCCTCTATGGTGCATCTTGGTCCAGGGCCTGGAGACTTCCCCGCTTGGGGAGTGATAACCAGGCTGGCTTGAATCCCTCCTCTCCATAGGGTGGGGAAAGTGGACAAGACCTGGTACCCTTATTGCATTAGCCAGGGGAGGAGGCCACTGTACGACCAGAGGGCTGTGTGACTGGCAATACTGTGCTCCACCTCAGTGGGATCTTTCTGTCCCTTAATGGGATGAGCCACCCCCACCCTCATGCCTTCTGGACTCCATATCAGCTCATATAAGGACAGCCTGCCAACACCCAGCAATACAATAGGTAATCATTTTCCTACCTGGTTCCTGGGTCCATTCTCAACCGCTACAACTTGGAAGGAGGCCAGATGGATGGTTAATTCCCAAATTTCCAGTGTGACTTTTACTTTCTGTCTACCACATGTTGGAGACACCAAGGTAAGAAGACAAGGTTCCTGGCATCTCGGAGCCCTCACTCTTGAGGTGTGGCGCACGAAAACTTGGGTCTTCTGGAGTATGACAGGAGCCCTGGCAAAGAGACTTATTAAGCCTGAGTCAAAGGAGGAGCAGGGAGGAGTCAGGGAAGGCTTCCTGGAGGAGGAGACAATGCAGTGGTGGAGTCCAGGGAGGAGGCACAGCACCAAGAAGGGCATGAAGGTGAAGGTATGTGGGTCACATGGGAACTGTCCAGCTTGGTTTCCAAAGGAAAGACTGGGCTATGTAGGTGCTCTTCCTGGCTGGGATTTACCATTCCCCAGAGCACCAGAGGCTTTTGAGAGAAACAGTGGTTACCTTGTTCTCACTTAGGGGGCTAAATAATAATGTCATTCAAACAGGAGCACTTCTGAGAGGAAAGGGGATCTATTAATTACCTTGGGACAACTGTCATGATTCCACATCATGGGTGGGACCAGGGTAGACTTGGGGTCATTTCACAAGGGTGGGGAGATGATGGTGTAGGGGTGGCAGGGAGACCACAGGAGAAGCTGAGGCCAGGAACATGAGTTTGCCCTAAGCAGCCTCTCTGGACCTCACTTTCCTTCTCTGTAAATGGAGCCTATCTCTCAAAGCTGTAGGGAGGACAGGGATGCTGTGAAGAGGAATGAAGCCAAGTCTGGCATCCCCCAGCAGAGGCGCTGCCTGGCACTGGAATCCCTGGATAGTCAACAAATCTTCATCCCAATTTCCAAAGATTCTGGGCTAACAGCAAAATGCTTGCTCAATGTGAAAAACAGAAAATGTTCAGATTTATTGCTTGGAGAATTTGCTGTCTCCTGGGCCTGGTTGATGTAGTTCCTTCTAAGTTTCAGAGCACTTTGTTTAAAAAACAGAATTTCTGACAGCAGTGTTTTCCCTTACGTTTATGCAAGTTTATAAAGAAGTTCACATAGTAATGATATGAATCATTGCTACTAGGTATTGAGTTCCTACTGGGGTTGGGGCTCGATTAAGCCTGGAAAACTGCTCCATCTCCACAGAAGGAGAAGCAGAACTCAAGAGAGGTTCAGGGACTTGTTCAAGGCCACGCAGCCTTGGGAAAAGGCAGAGCAGGGCTGAATGCAACTCTAGCTGCCTTCAAAGCCTCTGCTCTCCTTCTCTCCCCTTGCTCAACCTTCAATCTGACCCCCACACATCCATCAGCAAATCAACTGTGGGTGAGAAAAGCCAGGACCAAACCAATCCAAGGCCTTGTGGAGAGAACAGTCAGGGGCTGGAATGAACATAAGAATAACCAGGTGTGTCTGAGGGAGTCCTTTCGTGCCCACACGATGTTTTGTGCTGAGATTATTTTTGTAATGATGCAGGTGGCAGAGGGACCATTTGGGCATGGGCAGGGCACTTGCATTCAAAGCTCTCATTCTGTGCTGTCTAAACGGCAGCCAGGAACCACACATGGCTATTTAGATTTAATTAAAATGAAATAAAATGAAAAATTTAGTTCCTCAGTCACACTTGTGACATTTTAAGAGCTCCATCTCCACATGTGACTACCCTACCAGATAGCACAAATCTACAGAGAATCCCAGTGGGCAGCTTTGTTCCGAGCCTCCACCTCCCACTCCTTCTCCTCCTGACATCCTGGTTGAGGGGGAGCCGAGGACGCAGGTGGTGGGCACAGCTGTTCCGAGATCGGTGCCCCTGAAGCCAGCGTGCCTGTAGATGCCACGCCGACACCTGAGCCCCTCTCCTCTGCTCTGGATCAGCTACAGCACCAGGGACACAAATAAAGGGCAGAAAGCAGAGGAGGAGGCACTCACTGAGGCCTCGGTACTCAAAGTGTGGTCCTGGAACCAAAACACCAGCATCTCCTGGGAGCTTGTTAGAAAAGCAGAACCTCGGGCTCCATGCCAGAGCCACTGGATGTAAACCTGTATTTTAACAAGGTCCCGGGGAGATTCATGTAAGCATTCAAGTTGGAGACGCTCTGGCTCAGGAGACAGCCTGAGTGGGATCAAACTACGGCTCCAAATATAGGAAACCAAACATAATTTTAAAAGGCAAGAAATACCCTCGGCACCCCACCCCCGGCAGCACGAGTGAGCATTAGTCACCAAGAGCCCAGGGCTATGTGTCACGTGAGTGTTGAAGACTCCCAAGGCCAGACCCCTGCAGAAGCTGAGGAGCTGCCCACTGTCCGCCCTGGCCCCCCTCAAGCCAATGGGGTTATTATCTCCCAAGGCAAAGGGAGCAGAAGAAAAACTCTTCTGCTTTTCTTTCTTTTATTTTCTTGAGGAGAGGATACTGTACAATGAACCCAAGGCCTTCTCACTGAACCACATCCTCAGCCCTTTTTAAATTTTTATTTTTAAATTTTTATTTTGAAATTGATTTTCTTCTCCTTCTCCTTCTTCTCTTCCTCTTCCTCCTCTTCTACTTCGAGTAAAGGTCTCTTTGTGTAGTTCAGGCTGGCCTAGAACTCATGGGGATCCTTCTGCCTCAGCCTCCTGAGTACTGGGATTACAGGTATGTGCCACCACATCTGGCTTTTTCTTTTGCTCCTCTTCCTCCTCCTTCTCTTGTTCCTCTTCTTTTTTTGCATGAGTTGGGTGCGATAGAACCCACCCAACTCATAGCTTGCTAGGCAATTCTACCACTGAGTTGGGTCCCTAGCCCTTTAAAATTTTTTAGAATTTTCAGACAGGGTTTTGCTAAATTGCCCAGGCTGGGCTTGAACTCTTAATCCTTCTGCCTCTGCTTCCCCAGTAGCTGAGATTACAGGTGTGTGCCACTGTGCCCAGTTGAGAATCACATCCTGATCTCACGATGCTGCCTTTAAATCAGATTTTACAGTTTTACTTTTCTTCCCACTGCATTTGGCTGGTCTGTATACACACACAATCATTTAGAGAGAGGCACCTGGAATAGGACTTGCCTCTGCCCAGGGGTGTGACGCTCAGTGGGGTTCAATGCCTGAAGCCAGATGGCAGTGAAGGTTTTGGGGAAGGAAACAGCATTAAGCCCATCTACGAAGAAAGCAGGTGTGAAAGGTAGTTCCATCCTTGGCTTCAAATGAGGCCGGCAGCTGTGCTGAACTGGCTGGGAAGGCAAGGCAGCTGCAGGGAAGGCTGGGGTTTGGTGGCTGAGCATGCAGCTCTCTACCTTCAGGGTAGATGACTCAGCCCTTCCTGTCTCTCTCTGCTCAGCCTTCCTAGGGCCTTACTTATTTTTATCCCTGGCATGGAGTTAACTTGCCAAAAGGATGACACTTCTCCACCTGCAAGGGCCCTCCTAGAGGACAACTTTTAAAATATTCATTTTTACAAGGTGCTCCGGGCGATAAAGCAGAGGACAAGGATGCTAGGGAGAAGGGAGGGGGACAGCGACATAGGCCCAGCAGGGAGCCTGGGGCCTTGGGGAACTAACTGCACAGTGGCTTTGAGAAGAGACAGATTCTAGGAGTGGGTACTAAGAAAATAATTGAACAAGGGTGAGGAGAGGTCAGTATGCTGAACTTCACAACTCTCTTTATGATATGGGTGAGATCAAAGCAGACCACAAAGCTCCAACTGTTTTCCTCTCCAACATGCACCCGCCCTCTTTCGGTAGCAAACCTTTTTCCACCTGGGAATAGCCTGTTACCTATTGCACAGGATCTGTCAGTCAAGATGTTGGCCCTGCCCTTGGGTAGGGGTGAGCTTGTGACCTAGGCCAGGCTACATGGAAAGGAGACATAGTAGGGTCTGAAAACTGGATTCAGCCATGCTGGTGGCCTGAGGAGGCCACTTGCTGGTTCTTGCAGTATCCCTGGCCACCAAATCCTCTTCCTGGTCTTTTTTCTTTTCTTTCTTTTCCCTCTTTCTATCTTTCCTATCTTTTCTATCTATCCTTTCTCCTATCTTTTTCTATCTCCTTTTCTTTTCTTTCCTATCTTTCTATCTCTCCTCCTTTCTCTCTCCCCCTCTCTCTTTAGTACTGGGGATTTGCACTATGCTAAACTCCAGTGCTTTTAAAAATTTTAAATTTTGAGGCAGGGCCTTGCGAAGTCATTAAGTTGCCTGGGCTATACTCAAACTCATCGTCCTCCTATCTCACCCTCCCAGAGTTCTGGGATTACAGGCATTTACCACCATGCTTGGCTTCAGGTCCTTCTTGAGATCTGGGTATTTACCCTTTCCTGAGATTCCCAGAGCCATGCCATAGCATTCAGGTAAATTCTTCTTTTTCTTCTTTTTTTTTTGTTTTGGCTCATGGAGAATTGGTTTGGTTTCCATTATATGTAACTAAGATGTCAAACTGACACCAACCCAAATGCCCAGCGACAGGGGCTTAGATCAACAAAGTATGATAAAAACAGCACACAATGGAACACTACACAACCAGGTACAGCGATGACATAAATGTATATTTGTTGACATGGAAAGAGATTCACAGTATATAGTTAAATGCAAAAGCAGATTATAAGAAAACAGTATGTATAGGATGATACCATATTTGCAAAATATATATTCTATATATTCATAGAAAAAGGTCTAGAATAAAAAATAACACTATTCATTCCAGAGAGTAGGATGGCAAACGATCTTTCTTTCTGTGTATCTCAACTTCCTAATCTCCCTGCCATGTTTGTGCGTGAGTTTTTTGTCTTTTGTGTACAGTGGGTTGCAGAGGCCCACGTCCCTGATGCCCAGAAAGAGCTCAGAGACTTTTGTATTGAATGCCAGGATTCCTGCTACAGGGGCTGTGCACCCACAGCCCTGCTCAAGGAGATCCTGGGGCTGTCCAAGCCCCCAGAACAAGGAAGTAGCACCCCCAGAGCACTAAGAGCACCCCATTTATTCTCACAGCAATCTTAGGAGGTGTAAATCTCCCTCTGCCTGATGAAGAGCCCAGAGAGGTGAGGTGAGTGCCTGGATTCACACAGCAGGGATTTAAAAGCCAGGTTTCCCAGCCCAGAGCCCCAACACCCTGAAGGCTACTGAAGTTTAGGATCTGAGCCAGGATGAAGCAGCGGAGCTCAGGGAAGGGCTCAGCATTTGCCTGTGACCTTGGCAGTGCGGCTAAAGGGCAAGTGTGGGTGTGGGTGGGGTGAGGCCTTGCTCTGTAGTGGCCTCTGTTTCAGGCCTCTCACCAGGCAGCAGTGCCGGGCACTGGGAGAGGAAGAGGTTCTGGGATTGGAGGATGCTCATCCTGCTGCCAGACAACTCTTCCTGCTGCTCATCTAGGTCTTGGCTGGAAGGTCACCTGCCCAGAGAAGTCCTCCCTGGTCCCTATGAAAGGTCCTGACGATTGCTGGCCCAGTCCCATCTGTCATTGCCTTTGTAGCATTTCCTCAACATGTGGCCGTTTCATCTATCTGCAGGTTACCTTTATCATCTGTCTCCCTTGACTGCAGGGCTTATGACTATCGCTGTCAGCTGTGTCCCTGGCTTTTAGCCCAGCATCTGGTCCACTGCAGGTGCTCACCATGCATCTGCTGAATGATGGAGTAGATGAACAAAGGACTCTGGTGGCCAGAAAACCCAGGGTCAGGCTCATCTCTGCCTTCTACTGGCTTCGAGGCTTCAGGCAAGTTGCTGCTCCTCTCTGGGCTTCTTCCAAGTCTCAACCTGAGTATAAATCTCCAACTCCATACCTAATGGATTGGCCTCCCACTTCCTGAATATATTGGACAACTGAATGGGAAGTAATAGAATTTGGAATTGTTTAGTAAATTATACCTTAAATAAATCAAATGCCAGTTGGTTCTTCTTTCTGATGATCACGTTGCAGTGATTTCCCGAGGAGTCACTGTTGTGCAATGAGCCCAATCTTATTTCTTATTCAATAAACTCCTTTATTCTAGTTCACATACTTTTCCATTACAATAATGAAAATAGCACTAGTGATTTGTAACATTTAAGTCCAAATCAAAGGGGAACCCCTCCTCAAATTATGTGGTAAGTGACATGTAATTGAACATAGAGTAAATGTTGGGCAAAAGATATTAAAAATATAGATAATAGGGTCAGGGTTGTGTGTGTACAAATACTTTAAGGTTTCCTTGATTAGGATGGCTCCATTTTAGAAAGCACATGATTTTGAAAACTGTATTTATAATTGTAATAAAACTCAACTGTAAAGAAAAAGCAAAATCAAGCAAAAACAAAAATCCCCAAACCAAAAGGAAATTAATCAAACACCTAGGATCAATATGCAAACCTCTGGTCCTTTAGCCCTGGAATGGCGAGTGAGTGGGTTTTGTAGAAATTCTCCGTAGAAAGGAATCTCTGGGCCTGGTGTGACCTGGCCTTGGTCTGCCATCACTGCATCTCCAAGTCCTGTCTCCTCACAGAGGAAAAGAAGTGGCTTGTTTGACACATCTGTCCAGGGTCTGCCCAGGATGGGGCTTGCATTCCCAATCTCTTTGGGAACAGTCCCAAATCCCAAAAAGGCAAGGCATCCCTGAGGTGCCCAAGTGGCAGGGGCCAGGGTCAGTGTCGCTGCCAGGCCTGGCTGGAGCTGTCTGAGTGGTTCACAGGCAGTGGATGCGCCTCAGTGTTGAACACCCAGTCTTCTAGCGAGAGCGTGTCATCTTCAGAGAACAGAAGATAGAGGTATCTGTGGCCGGGAAGGCAGGGTGCAAGACAGCCGTCAGTGCCGGGAGAAGGTGGGCCTGGGAGTCTCGGGGCCTGAGAGGAGCCTTCGGCTAGGGCAGGGAGGCCGGGACCTGACAACTGGTCCGAGGCTGGTCCCAGGGAAGGACACCATGGATGGCCAGGACAGCACTGAGCTCTGGGGTCAGAGGGACCTGTTTAATTCTGGCTCTTCCTGGGCCCCTACTCTGCAGCCTCACCTGCCCAGCCCTTTAGGGAGCCTTGGTAGGACCCTAGAGGCCCGACTTTCCTTTGCGGGGTAGCCTGAGTGCTGCACCTGTCCAAACTCTGACACGCACTCCTCAGAGTCCACGCTCCAGTGCACCTTAGAGTGCTACAGAGCTGGGGCCAGGACTCCTGGACTCCAGCTTTGGGGCAAGGGGACTTTCCCTGGGAGGAACCATGCCAGGGTAAAGCTCAAGGGCTTGCTTTGGGGGAGCAGTAGGGAAACTGGGTGCTACCTCCCATCCCAGGAAAGCCAGGGAGCCACGCTGCAGAGCCACAGGAGGGAAAGTCAACCACAGTGACCGATGTGGATATCACCATCATCATCATTATTCCCATTTTACAGAGGAGGACAGGGATCCAGGAAACCCAGGACCCTGAGCCACAGCCTTAAGCACACACACTGGTACACAGTCAGCACCGAGGGGCTGGATTCTAGCTCAGCCTCACTCTGAGGGAGAAAGGGCCAGGCCAAGACTCACCCCTGGACCCCAAGCCCTCTGACCCTGGAGGGCTCCTGCCCTGTGACTACAGAGCCTGGCTGTCATGGGGGACTTCTGGCCACCCACCCTGTCCCCCACAGGAGCCACACTGCTGCCAGAGAGGACATGGGCCAGGCCTGCACTCACTTCAGTGTCTCAGCTAGAAAGAAGCTCTGTTGTTTGTTGTCGTGGTTGGGGCTGCTGCTATACACGTCCTGGATCCCGGAGAAGCCGGCGTCCGTCCGGCAGTACTTCTCCAAGGCCTGTGAAGAGGAAGGCAGGTCAGCAGGTGAGGAGAGGTACCCCAAGCCTCAGCCTGCTAGCGGCTGAGTTCACCAACAGATGAGCCCCTGGCCCAGAGGTACAGGGGCTAGCACCTCTGCCTTTTGCACAGAAATGCAATTTTTGCCTACTGGGAAGTCTGTGGGCCGGGCACATGACATGGAACCTTTGAAAGGAAGAACAAGGGCCTCGGGGAAGCAGGTGCACTATAGACAGTGAACCAGGCCTGAATCTGAGCAGCCCCCCACTCCCCACATGTGGGCCTCCCAGAACAGTTGCTAGTGCCCCAAGAACAGGTGATGCCTTGGCAGCCTGAGGGAAGACACAGGTGCTGCTGGGAAGAGGGACAGAGAAGCCTCAGGCTCCATCAAGGAATCCTCTGGAATCCCTACCCCTGACTTTGACACCCCTTTAGCCCAAGGAAGGCCATGGGATTTTCAGCAGGTGGATGGGGCTGAGGGGAGGTCAAGACCATGAAGAAGCCAGAGTGGTCAGGGGCTGTGGCCAGAGGACCAGAGGAGCTGCCGGCCTGCCAGCCAGTCCCGTGTCAGAGGTGGCCTTTCAAGCCAGCTGTCCAGCCCTCAGGCCAGGAGCATGCTGCTGGGATCTCAGGGCCATGGTGCTGATCTGCTGACAGCTGTCCCAGCACAAGAGGCCATGGGTAGGTACTAGGTCGCTTTTCAACAGTCCCCGCCTTCCTGGCCTTAGCTGGGGCTCTTGGCTCTGCAGCCTCTGCTTCACCCCTGGGACAGATCCCTCTCCCCGCTGGTGCCCAAGCCAGGGGCTTTGGGCCCCAGCCACTCACCATTACCACGTCCCAGCCCCACTCCCTATAAGTGGGGTCGTGTGTCTGCCGCCACAGGTACATGTAGCTCTCTACCACCTCAGGCCTCAGGATGTAGTAGCTCTCGCTGAGCTGGGTGGCCACCGCCTCTCTGCCAGAGTTGAACCAGAAGGCCTCGGGCCCGAGTTTGGTGTCTGGGAATGGCCAACAGAGGACCCCGTCAGACCTTGCACTTCCTGTTTCCCTGATCAGCTGCCTCAGGGGGGGCTCTGGGTGCCTTAAGCCCTTGGCGGGGTGATGTTAATGATGCACTGGCATGGGGTGGGCCCTGCTGAATCACTCCATAAGGCTGTGCTGGGCAGGTGCATAGCTTCCCTCTAGGCCCAGGTGGGCCAAAGCAAGACTCCTGAGGCTTCATGAACTCTGCAGGTTTGGACTCAGAATCTGAATAACCTACTCTGCAGTCAGGGAAGATAAAAGCTTGGGCAGTGCGCCCCAACTGTGTTTTCTGAGACGTAAGCCCTCTACAAGGTTATTAACTAGGACTCAGCCAAGATAGGGCTTTAGGTTGGAGCATGTCTGGGGAACAGGAGATTAAACAAAGTGAAGCAGTCCAGTTTTCGGGACTTATCAGATCTTTTAATATGACAACATGGGAAGATGCTCCTCCACAGACCCCTTTTCTTTGGAAACTGCTTTTAACACCTCCCAGGTGGAGCCTTCCAGAGCTAGGTTTGGGAACCTGTTAAGGTGGAGATGAAGGAATAATGCCAGGGGAAACTCAGACAGAGGGGGCTGGATAAAGGAGGCCCGATGAGGTCTGGGTTTTGTTGTCATTGATTTGTTTTTGAATTGGTTGCCACTTTAGTTTTCCACACAGCCACAATGGTAACCATCTGCATAGCTACCATTTATGACCTCAAAGGCTGTGCTGGGTGCTTTACATTATTTCAATAGTAAAAAAAATTTTTTTTTTGCTAAGGTAGCTGCCATTATCCCTCTCTAATGTATGTGGAAACTGAGGATCAGAAAGGCTATTTGTCCAAGGCAACACAGCAAGTTGTGGCTGAGCTGGGATATGACCCTGGATCTGTCTGATGCTTCCTTTTCCTTCTGGGCTGACTCTCTCTCTCCTAAGTCTGACTCTCTAGGTCCAAAATTTAGGGTGTGTGAGTCAGGTCTTCCTCTGTCCATCCCATCCAGGCCAGCCGCGCACCACGCTCTCTTCCTAATTCTGCCACCTTATTTGGGTTCAGAGTCCTGCAAGGAGGCCACCCTACTGTTGCCCCTGCTGGGGCTTCCTGCAGGAGGGGTCCACTAGACTGTGGCCCCTCTGATCTTTTCAAATGGCAAAGCTGCTCCAGGCCATTAGGCAACAGTTGTTTTGCCAAGTTGCTAATGGGGTGAGGGCAGCAGCCACTGCTGCAGCCGTCAGCAGGCCAGCCCGGCTGGCGGAACAATATGCTCTATTAAGCGGCTGTCTTTTATGGTCTGTGCTGATTGTCCCAGACAAATAGCAAGCTTTTTATTATTCCCGAGATTTCCTATTTGTTTATGGCCTTGGCAGAGTGAGCTCCATGAAGAGAATGGAAGACCGGCTTTAAGGACCCATTGCGAATCTCTGACTTCCTGGTACAGCTCGGAGAAGCGGCTCCAACCACAGGCGAAGGGACAGGCAGAGACGTGCGTGGCGGCTGCTAACACTGTGGTGTGGTTGGAGACGCAGCGCAAGGCTTTCTCGTGGCCTCACACTGCGCTCTGGGGGACCCATGTTCTCATTCCCATTGAAGAGATGGGAAAACAGAGGCCGCCCTGCTGACGGTGGCAGAGTGGCACTTGAGCAGAGGCATCCTCTCCTCCATCCACGACCACAATTACAACTCAGAGTGGTGGGCCCCTGGGGGCAATGTTTCTGTTTCAGGGGCTGGAGGAGGCTGCTCTGTGCCACCTCACAGGACCTTGGCCAAATCATCTCTGAGCCTCAGTTTCCTCATCTGTGTTGTGAGGTTCAGTGATGATGTGTGTCAAGTAATGCTGATGATACCTCCACTGTCTCCTTTAGATGAGGTCCAATCTCAGGGCCTGGCTGACCATCCCTCACTGCACCTGTGTGTCACTACCCGGGTGTGACTGTGCCAGGACTGCGGGCTCCCTTCCACTCACTGATGCTCTGCTGCTGCCCCGTCCCCTGCAGGGTTACCTGAGCGGGCGTATGACTCGTGGCACGTCCTGGTGATCTGGGCTGCCAGCTCTTGGTAGTGGGCCCTCTTTTCTTCCTTGGCATCCTCAGCGCCGAGGGAGATCATGCCCCCTGAGAAACAGGCCAGGTGTCCCATCTTGTGGTCCAGAATCCCCCCTCGCCACTCGGCAATGTAGGTCAGCCCCCCGGGAGAGACATTCAGCAAGTAGGTTTCTATCGCCTGGGAGCAGTTGGGGTGGGGGTGTGGAAGGCACAGAGAAGGGAGGGAAAGGATGGAAATGAATGCTCTGGAGACAGTAGCAAGGGTGGCTCTGTTGAGCCCTCTGTCTCTGGCACGGAAGCCCCCTTGTCTCTGCTGGCTGAGGTCCCTGGCAGGGCCAGCAGAGGTCCTGCCACCAGGGCTGCGACTCACAGCCACTAGGAGAAGGGATGCAAGGTTGCTCCCTGGGGTGAGGCTCTCACATAGCCTTTTTTTTTTGGTACCGGGGATCAAACTCAGGACCTTGTGCCCGTGAGGCAGATCCGGTGCCACTGAGCTAAATCCCCAGCTCACATAGCCTTTTTAATATCCTATGTTTTAAAAAATCTTTTAAGATGATTGTCTTCCTCCACTGCATTCTCTGTTAGCCTAAAGCCCAGTTGGCCTGTGGATGGGCTTCTGGGGTCCAGGACACCCCTAAAACTGCCCTCGACACTTCTGTGGATCTGCATCTTTGAGGGAAGAGCACCTACGTGTCTTATGAGGTTTTCAAAAAGGACCTGCAGAAAATGAAGCTACCTATCACTCACTTCCTCCTTGAATGCCTGGCACATGGGCTGTGGTGCCCATTACAAAGGGGTCGAGTGGCTTGTCCTGGGTCACCCAGACACACCAGGGCAAGGACCAGGACCCCCAGACACGTTTCCACTACCTGCCAGTGGCTCCTTTTGGCAGGAAGGGCTCTTGAGCGGGTGATGCTGTTGAGGACTCTGGCATACTGAGGTGTGCAGGTATCAGTCCCAGGAGTCCTGGAGACTGAGGTGACAGAAATGGCTGCTCACACAGCCACAAAGCCAAATTCCACAGGCCCGTAGCTCCTGGTGATGGCTGTGGTGCTGTGGGGGCCTAGTCAGGCCTCTGCCTGTATTCCTGCCCCTCTGATCTATTGGGGTAGGGAGTTCTGCACTCTAAACAGTTGGACCCTGTCATGAGCCTGCTTTGGACCTGAGGTTCCCAGAACCCTTGGGAGAGGGTGCAGCAGGGCCTCCAGGACACTATTATCTGGACTCCAAGGTGTACCCCGATGCTACACGAAGGCTTCTGAGCGCAGACTCCATGGGTTCAAATCTCTTCTCCACCAGTTCCAAGCTGTGTGTGACACCGGCCAGGCTACATGTTCTCTCCATACCTCAGTTTGCTCATTTCACATGGGGATAAGAGTGTTAACTACCTCAAGGGAGAATTAAGTGAGATAACTGCAGAACGAGGTCTATTTCCTATCACTGAGGGTCCCCCACAAATGCTGCCCACTACGAGTCCTCTGCAGTCTGACCCTCACCACATCCCACCCCAGCCACATTGGCCTCTCCATTCATTTCCATTCCCCTCCCCTGTCAAAGTCTCGTGTGCCACCGAGTGTTTCCTCAGAGCCAATGTTATGCCAGGGGCCAGGGATGCGGTGCTGTGTGGCGAGCTCCCTACGAGTACAGAGACTGCCCAACAAGATCAAACACAGGTGACGATGACAGCTGGCGAGGAGCACTCTGAATGAAACAAATTGAGGGGAACAGATAAGCAACGTGGGTGCCGTGGTCTGCAGCGTGAGGTCAGAGCAGGCCTCTACTTTAGGCTCCCTCCCCGTGCATGCTGAGCCCGGCTGAAATGACTGACTCAGCCTCCAGGCCTCCTGCAGAACAGTGCTCCCTGGGAGAGGACACCCAGTTAGACCATCACTGCTCCCATTACTGTCACCCTGCCACCTTTCTACCAGTGCTGTCCCCACGTGCAGCGTGCTTGTGTACTATGTCATCTCTCCCGGGACTCTCAGCACTGACAGCAGCAGCTTCCAGCCCAGGCCTGGCACATGCAGAGACTCAGACAGTATTCGCTGCTTGGTTTGTTTTTTCCTTTCCCTCTCCTCAGGGGCCCAAGGCTGGGGTGGGGGGTGCTGGCTTCAGGCCCCTTGCTGAGTGGCGGCTGGGGAGAGGCTAATGATGTGACAGGGCCAGGGCACCTGCTCCACCTGGGGGTGTGCTGAGAAAGCCTGGAGAGCCACGGGCTGCCAGCCTGGCCAGCTCTGGCCCAACTCTGGCTCCTGGGCAGGGTCTTCCTAGCTAAGCATAGGCTCAGGGCAGGGACCCTGGAGAGCCCAGGGCCCAAAACCTGGCTCCCAGTCACCAGTTGTCAACATTTGAGATGGGAGAACACAGATATCTGGGGGATGTGCCATGTACTGGAGCTAGAAATCTGTACCTTTCAGACTATACCCCACAGGTTACTTCCATGTGGCATTAGCCCCAAGCTAAGTAATTGCAGTATGTACTGGTGTCTCTTTGAAGATACATTCGAATGAGCAGATGTGAAGATAAAAACAAGGCTTTCTTATGCCACGAGCAAAACACAGGGCAGCACAGGCTGGTGAGCGAAAGGCAAAGGTGTAGATCATAGCAAAATGCATGAGAGGGGTTGGGTAGGTGGTGGGGACCTGGGCCCTGAGTCCTAGCTATGTAATGCAAGTTAAGAGCCGGGTGACTTTGGGCAAGTTATTTCAGTTTTTTGAAGACCCACTTTGCTCATCTGTAAAATGGGAATCATTCCTGGGATGGCTGTGAGGATGAAAGCAGAGAGCACTCAAAGATGTGGCTTGGTGCCTTGGCCTGCTGTTCCTTCATCTCCCTTGGGGACAGGCCTCCTAAGAGGGACTTCAGGTTGGCCAGGCTCCTCCAAGATAGGGCTATATGACCAAGGACACAGAGCACTAGCCCAAAGCTCTCCCTGTTCTCTTTGATGCCCCTTCTCCGGACCCAGTCCGGCCTGCCTAACCTCCCCCATCCAGGCCAGCTGGACCTGGGTCTAACCTGCTGATTTCCACCCCTGGTTGCACACTGAAATCTCTTGGGGGCTTTAAAACACTACCTCTGGGCCCCAACCCCTAGAGGTTCTGATGTAAGTCAGCAGGGCTGCAGCCTGGACACAGGATTTGACAGCTCCCCTGGATTTGATTTTTAACATGCTGACAAGGGTGAGAACCACCAGAACATTCTTCAAAGCTCCAAACTTGCCCGAGGCCCTGCCTTTACCCAGGGTCAGAGCAGCTCCAGGGTCCTCACTGGGGAGATCATATGTGGGAGCAAAGCTGAGTCCTCTCCTGTTCAATCAAGTGCTTTCTGTGAAGCTCCTGGCTGCTTAAATAATTCATGGCCATTTCTCCTCTTGAAGCCTCAACTACAGTGTGCCCCGAGGGCAGGGAATCAGCCACTGGTGAACTTCAAGTTTACTCTGCAAGGAACAGCAGACAGAGCTGAGGCTAATCCTGCAGCAGGGGACACTGGCCTTGCTCTGAGCTTAAGCACAGACAGCGCTGAGGCTCATACTGAGCTGGGACTGGAGCCCCGCTGTTCCTTTAGGACTGAGGTCTTGGTGCTGGGGACTCCTCCTGAGGCCAAAGTCATGTTCCACTCTTTGGGTTGCCTGGGCTGCACTGAGCAGAGAGGAATTGTCTCGGGCCACATATAAAATATAGTTAATGTATAGAAATAACAAAACTTTATTTTAAAATTGCTATTATAACATTTTTAAAGTGGGGGGGCAAGTGGCTTGTGGGATGCAGGTTGGACATGTCTGGAAAAGTCCACAACTCTAGATGTCTGTTTAAATGTGTTTCTTTGAGTGCTCTAGTTTTGGCCAGCTTCGTACAATCAAGGGTACTTAAGAGATCATCCATCAATCCACCCATCCATCCATCCATCCATCCACCCACCCATCTGCTCATATCAATTCACCTGTCCATCTACCAACTCATCCATCTAGCCATCAAACTCTTCACATCCATCCACTCATCCACCTACTACTATACCCACCCAGTCATTCATCTCATATACCCATCCACCCACTCATCCACCCCCTCATCTAACCACTTGCATATCCATCCTCCATCCATCCTTCCCATCCATATATCCTTCCTTCCATTCACCCACCCATTCAGCATTCATACATTCATTTGTTCATATAATTGTTGCGTGCCTGTTGTGTGCTAGACAGTGTTCAGAAGTGAGGCATACAGGGTGAACTAGCAGACAGGATCCCTGGTCCTAGGTAACTCACATTGTACTTGGGGAAGATAGACAATGATCAAGTAAGCACAAATGTGCACACGTGACACTGTTATAGTGGAAGAAGAGAGGAAGCCTGGATAATGTGACAGAGAGACTGGGAAGGGTAATTCAGTAGCATCTGAGTTGAGAGCTAACTGATAAGAGGGACTAAGCTATCTGCATGTCATTCCAGGTAGAGGGGACAGCAAATGCAAAGGCCCTGATGTGAGAATAAGCTTAGTGGGTCTGAGGAAGCAGAGAGAAAAGAGCGAAGAGATGAAGTCATGGTGATCAGCAGGGTCCCAATCAGGTAGGACTTGGGAAGCAAAGGAGCAGGATCTAGTTTATCCTGGGTGCTAAGAGAAGTGGGTGAGAGAGGCTATGGCTTTCCAACTTTTCTGGCTGCTGTGTGGAGTGGTGATTGAGAGAGTAGAGCAGAGGGGAAGGAGCTCAATTTAGAGGAAATGTAGTGGTAGTTTAGACCAAGGTGGTGCCAAAACAGATCTAACTTGCTTAATTAACTTTATGGGGAAACTGAGGTTCAGAGGCTGCCCAGTGCCCTTTCGTTAACTATGAATGTGCTATGGGAATCCCTAACCCTCTTCTCCACAGCCCAGGCTGACCAACTGCCCCTTCTGCTCTAGTTTTTCTTTGGAAGGACTCAGCCTACCATCCTTGCTTGTCCCACCCTGTGGATAGACTAGCAGTGGTGCCAGCTCTGTCAGTCCCGTGCTGTGTGGCCTTGAACCAATGCCTTCTCCTCTCTGAGTTTGGGTTTCTGTCCACATCGAGAGAACCAGCAGCTCGGCCATGCTAATTATATCACCTCTAGTGTGGCAGGAAGACAGCCAAGGGTCTTGCTCGACAGGCTGCTCCTAGCCACAGCCTGCTGCTGTATTAAGTGAAGTGTCTGAGCAGGGAGTGGGTGGATTTTTGAACTGTGGTTTCTAAGTCAGATTGACTGTCACTTCCTATGAGACCTTGGACAAATGACTTAACCTGTGCTTAGGTTTCCTGAGGACACTGACAAGGGACAAGCGAGAGACAGTGCAAAGTGCTGGCCAGGAGGGGCTGCTCTGCCATTCCCTGAGCCTACCCTGGGGGGCTCAGCAGGCCTCTGTGATCCCCCCCAAGCACTCTGGGGCCCGTGGCTAATGATCAGCTCCCCACAAGGAACTCAGTGAATGTCTTACCTCCAAGGCTTCATAGTACATATTTTTAGCCTCCATGTCTGTCTTGGCAGACATCAACCAGGATTTGATCAAATATTCATAAAAACTATCGCCGAGTCCTCCAACAGAGACATGGTCTGTGTGGGGAAAGAGGACAAGAATGTCAACTCCATCTGCCACAGGCTGTGGAGAGGCCGAGTGGGGACATTTTCCATGCAGGCCTCGCTGACCAGAGGATGGGGGCTGTGGGAGCTGGCATCCAACCTACCACCCCCGAACCCCAGTGGGGCTGACAGACACAGTCTTCTAAGCACAGGACACCAGGGTACCTCGAGCTATGTGTCTCAAGCCAGGTGCACGGGCTCTTCAGGGCCTGCAGACAGAGGGTCCCTACTTATGAACTGTAAGTGGGTTGTGTTTCTTTAAAAAGATAATCTGGTGGCAGGGAGTTCACAGCATTTTATTGCCCAGTGACAAACATGGTAATTAATGCGGGGCCTTCCCGAAAGGCCACAGGGAGGAGGAGAAGCCTTAACTCAGCTCCTCAGACCCAGAGTAAGAGACTGGAGAAAGGGAGTTTAAATTGAGCAAATTGGGATAAATGAACTCAAAGGAGTAGGATGGAGGAGGGTCAAACGGGGCTCAAGACCTTCCCTCTGCCCTGGTGGCCAGTGGACCAGTGGCACCTGCCAGTCACCCACAGAGCAGAGCCTCTCAGGCTGGGGCTCATGAGGAGAGAGACAGCTGCCGAGGACCATGACCCCCAGAAGCAGCACAAGGACACACATCGCTTCCATAACAAAGTTACGGAAGAGCTGGTTTCCGTTCAGAGGGACAGACAGGGGACATGGGGTGGACTGAGGAGTGTAAGGCCGGCAGAGTTTTTGCAACTCCTCTGGAGAAGGACAAGGGAAGAAACAAGAGATTGAGAAAGTGAGATGTGGAGAGACTATGCCCCCAGCTCCCTTTTTATTGGGTGTTTGTCATGGGCCAAGAGCTTCACTGTATTGTTTTAACTTTATCTTCCCATTACCTTGTGAGGTAAGCACCATCTGGCCATTTCCCAGGAGGGAAAACTGAGGGAGACCTTAGCTTGTGCAAGGCTACCACCCTGGCAGGCGGGAGAGCCCTCACTTTCTGCACTCTACACAGTCATCCAGAGGGTGAAAACAGATGCATAAAGATGAGGCAAGTGAGCAGGAAGTGCGACCAAACACAGAGGATAAAGACAGGTGGAACCTGGGACGGGGCTGAGAGGAGGCCATCACATGGGAGATTAGCCCTGCAGCCGCCAGTCCTTGTCCATGACCAAATCCTGCCCCAGCAAAGTGCTCTGGAACAGAAGAGCTTGCAAAAACTGAAACAGACAGGAGAAAGCATGAGGTCCTGGAGGACTGGGGAGGAGTAAATGGCGTGGGACCTGGCTATGCGGAGGGGGAGAGAGACCTGGACCCTGCCCAGCCTCTCATCACCACAGCTGGAGGGTGCAGCTGGAGCAGGCAGAGGGGCAGGAGCAGGTCTGTGCAGAGGGGGCAGGCTGGACGTCGGACTGGGTGGGTCTCCTAAAGCCCCCAGTAGCTCCCCTCTGCTCCAGGAGGGGCAGCCACAGTGGGGCAGCTGAGAACACTGTCATCTCCTGACCCATCACCTGCTGCCTTTCTTTTTCTCTGCCACTTCAAACATCCTTCTTGAAGCCTTCACTGTGGAATTTCTCTCTTCTGTTCCTTGGCTTGTGCTGCTCCTGGGCCTTGGATGCCCTGCCTCACCCTACCCTGCCTGGCTGGCACTCACTCATCTGGCAGGTGCAGCTCAGGCTTTCCTAGACTGAGGTCGAGCATGGCTGATGACTCTGTCACAGCCCCTCTTGTGGGTGGTCATGTGAATTAAGTAAAGCAAGTGCACATTTGGCCCCCGGCCTTCATGGGAGGCACACCCAGGGCCACCCTCCTCACGACTGTTGTCACACTTTGCCATGGGATGCTCCCAGTATCGTTAGAAGGATCTGTTTACGGGTCTGCAGCTCGGCCAGATTGAGAGTTCTTTGTGGGGACTGTACAATTCGTTCTTGTGCCCAGTACCCATGTAGCACTTGGAGAGGCCCAGTGAGCACTCAGTGAATGGAGGGGAGGGAGGGCTGAGCAGAGCTTGGATGTCAAGCCAGGTTTGCACTTCCTCACGAGATGACATGGTGTGACATGGTGCAGGACTCTCTCTGGTAGGGGTATGCAGGAGAGGGGAAGGAGCCAATCACTAAGGCTTCAGGACTCTCTCCTGGGGTTGTGTGTCACCTGGCTGGGGGACTTGACCCAAACAGACAGCCTCACAAGGGGTCCACCACTTAATGGCTGTATAGCACACTGGGAGAAGCCCAGGGGTGGGAATCAGAAGAGGTGCATCTATATTAGTGCAGGGTAAGCCACTGTCCACTCGGGGGCTTAGTCTTCCAGGCTATAAAATGTGAGAAGGGGAGCACAAGTTAGTGTCTTGGAGCCAAACGCAGTCTGACTGCGGGTGCCTGACTGTGCCAATGGACTCCTCACACTTGGCCACAGGAGACAGGGCCACAGCCTAAGGAACCAGAGGGCATGAAGCTAGGGAGGCTGCCAGGCTGGGCCTGTGGGCAGCTCACAGCTCCGGGCCACTAGGGAAACCCAGACCTGCTGCTTCCCACAGCAGACAGTGGGATTCAGGCAGTGGATGGAGGACGAGTGACTCAGGACCATGTTTACTTCCTTGGCAGCTCTCAAAGCTCCAAGGCACTGGTCTTAGGGTGGTCTCATCTGTGTCTGGTACGCTGGGAGCCCGGTGGATTTCTCCTGGTTATAAAGTCTTAGCAGCAGCAGGGTTTTGAGCCTCTGTTACCCTGAAGCTTAGCTTCAAGGTGGAGTGGGAAGCAGGCAAGAGCAGAGGCAGGTAACTGGGATACTGCAGCCCTTGTTCCTCCTCCGCCTGTGCTGTGATTTCTGGCTGCAATCGGGTTCAACAGTCCCTGCCCACCTGGTACAGGTTTGTTCTGAGGATTCAAGAGGAGACAGAATAAATGTGCTTAGCTTGTGCAAGGTGGGGATGTGATCATCTGCTGAAAAGATTCATATGCTCCAGAGGATCCAAGAAAACCCCCAGAAAACCTGCGATGACCCTGGGCACGAAAGCCAGGGGAGGAGGAAGGCAGAAGCCCGGATCAGCAGGGTTTTATGACCTTCCCTTTGCTCTTTAGCAGGCTGTGGACTCGTATTTTATTAATATGAAACAATTTCCCATATGTGACTGACTTTGCCCAGACCTGCTGCCCCTGGAGCAGTCTGAAAAGAAAATTATGCCTCTCAGCTGGGAGTGAGGTGTCCTGTTATTTGCTGAAGTAACTGTTTAGCTGGGAAGCCACACCTCTCTCATCCTTTTTTATGAGTTTTGCTGCATTGTCCTGAGGCAGCTCAGCTCCTTACCCATTCAGGCCTTGCAATTAAAAGCTGCTAACAGTTACTGAACTGTCTCTTCCCATGGCCATAATCTGTAATGCAAGCTTTCATTTTCCCCCTACACTTTCGGATTTGGCAGTGTGTTTTGGTTGAGAATACTTTGTATTTCTATAAGTGCTTTCTTTTTCAGGAGGCCACTTGGGGTGAAGCCATCGCTGGGGGAAGTCCTTGGGTCAAATTTTCTGGACCTCTTAGACCAGCAGATGGCAGAGGCCCAGGTGGGAAGCAAAGGTGTCTGCAGTGTCTCCATCGAGCCCTCCCCCAAGCCAGCCCTCCAAGTCCTGCTCAAATCATTCTTTTTGGGACAACCCAGATGTGCTTTTGAAGAGTGAGATGCAGGTGGCTTCTGGCAGCCTCTGGCCCTTCCTGCATGCCTTCCTGGGACACAGAACCCAGCATACTCACTTCTCACATTTCACAGGACAGGAAACCAAGGTTCAGAGATCAAGAGAATTCTCCCAAGCCTCACAACCATTACTCAGGTCTACTTTTTCATGATCCCTAGAGACATGGAGGTGGGTGGGTCTCGGGCAGGACTCAGGAAGGGATCTGCTACCACCAATTTCTGCTGACCATGGCCACTGTGGCCTGCTTCTCCCAGAGCTTCTCAGTGGAATGCACTTCACATAAGCGTGGGAGATTCTGAACACAATGGGTGTCCTCAACCCCCATTCTGTGTCAGTGGGTGGGGGCGCACGTGAATGATGTTCCACTGGTGACCAACAACTGTGCAGCTGAAAGTCAAGTTTCTAAACAGAGACAAGTGAAAATTTAGGGACTGATTCTTATAGGTTTAAGGTATAGTGGTAAATTAATGATTTTTATGTCATTATTGTTAGACTCTGCTTAAAATTGTTTTAATTAGAGCTTGAAGTGAGGAGCCAGATCAAAGGGGTTGGGAGAAGATGCAGAGCCTTTTTCAGTGAGGACAACTGTACCAGGTTGGGAACAATGAAGGAGGCCAGAATGGTCACCATGTGAGACGGCAGCTGGAGAACTAGGGGAGGATGGGGTTCAAAGAAGGGCTTTTTTACACCCACCCCAGCAGTGGCAGTAACAGCGAAAGGCCCCCTGTGCCTGGGGGGTGGGAGGAGGTGGTATCTAAGAGCTGTGCAAACGCTGGGCTGGGGCCCTGGCTAGGGATTCCTGACCAGGCACCCCTGGAGTGAGCGTGGCGGCGTCTCTGTACTCACGTTGTACCCAGTTCCCACTCACTGGGCTGAGGAAGTTGGGGTAGAGGCCAAAGGGCTTATCGATTTTCCTGAGGACCTTGCGGATGTTCCTGACCTGTCGAGAGACAGACACAGTACCCCTTCACCTCCCTGAAGAAACCAACTGACTCCTGGGATCCAACTGATCCCGGGGACAGGAGACAGCTGGCTCAGATTCGCAGATGACACAGTTCCTACGAGGCAAGAGGAAAAGTGGTGTAAGGAACTGCAGGCTCCAACCAGAGGTGGCCAGTGGGCCTTGCCCCAGGGCGCACACAGAGAGGCCTGGCAGAACCAGGTCACGGTGGGGCCTGAGCTACTGGCTCGCCACTGACTGCTCTGCCTGGTGCCAGCACCACAGCCTGCTTTTGGGGTAGACCTTTTGTGGGGGTCAAATAAGTAACAATAGCTCATTTGTAACCATTTTGTAAAATTGCCTTTTAAATAGGCCATAAATGGTCAAATGTAGCCATCCCATAACTGGGCATATACCCAAAAGAAATGAAATCAATACATCAAAGAGACATCTGTCTCCCCCATATGCACTGTAGCACTCTCTACACCAGCCAGGATACAGAACCAATCCGAGTGCTCAAGGAGATGAATGGGCAAAGGAAAGGTGGTGGGTACACGATGGAATACTAGTCAGCCTCAATAAAGAAGCAAAGGTTGCCATTTTTGAACAGCATGGGTGAACCAGGAGGATGTTTTGTTGAATGAAAGACAGATACCATGTGACCTCACTTAACTGTGGAATAGAATAAAGCTGGACTCACGGAAACAGAGCAGAATACTGGCTACACCAAGGGTGAGGGTGGGTGGGAGGGTTGTGGAGATGTTGGCCAAATTTTAGTTAGGAGGAATGAGTTCAAGGGATCTGATGCATGGTGACTCCGATTAGCAGCAACATATTGCATTCTCACAAATTGCTCAGAATAGATTTTAATTGTTCTCACTATACCAAAAACGTATGTTAAGTAATTAAAGAAATTTTGGTCATGATTTGACACTTGCATATAGTTCAATCTGGTAACATATAATTTATTGGACACCACAGGAGAGATTGCAGGGGACAGGCCTGGACTCCTGAACACCCCTACTCCCCAGCTGGCATCTCAGGGTTTTAATGATGATGGTAAGAAGAGCTGTTAGCATTTCTCAGTTCCTTCAAGCTGGACCTGCTATATACATTATCTCCCTACACGGAGAGGCTGCTGGGTCCGCCCAGGATGGTGACCACATGGCAACACATTCCAAAGGCTGCCCCAGCTGGAGCAAGCTGACACTGATTTGCAACCTTTGGGGCTGTGAAGGTGAGAGGCAGAACTGAGGACTTTCTCCATGGGTGTCTGCTCTCTGGCAGTGCTCTAAGTCCCACCCTGGGCAGGATGCTCCGGAGAGGAATGCTCTGGGGATCACATCACCATACACCAATAGATTAATCTCCAAGGTGTGGAGATAGAGGAGCAGCCTCTTAGCTGTCAGACCTTTCTTTCCAGGGGCCAGCACTTGGCTTTGCCACATCAGACTTCATGTCCATTTATGTTAACGGAGTCCATTTTGGGGACAGGAATGTGCTTGTACCTAAGTTATTCTCCACTGTCCTAGCGGTGAGCAGTGAAGCAGGCTAAATTAGCTCCCCTGGAGGGTGCAGGCGCTTCCAGAATTTGGGCCAATTTGTTGACTGCCAATAATCGCCTCTGTGGGAGGTGTGATGGGGGATGAAAATAGCCAGAGTATGCAAATGTGGAAACAGAGATGGAGGGATGGACTCCAGAGGAAAAGCCTGCAGCCTGCTGTACTTGTCTGGTGTGGGAAGAGCCAGAAAGTCCTGGGCTTGAATCCCAACTTAACAGCTCACCAGCTGGGAGGCCCTGGCCAGATTGCTTGGCCTGAGTCTCAGTTTCCTCCTCTGTAAAATGGGGAGAGCAAGATGACCACCTCCTAGGGTTGCTGGGCTGGGGGGAACTGGAGCCGATACAACTATACACAGCAGGTGCTTGGACAGTGGTGACTGTCATTCCGGCTAACCAGGGCCAGTGTGTGGTCCTTGTCCTGGTCAATCCAGAACCCTTGGGGCATCCTGGAGGAGGAGTCTGGCTCTAGGGCAATGGTGCAGGAAGGCAGGGGCAAGGGTCGTAGTGGTGGGCAAAGGGTCAGAAGATAAGAGCATCAGGAAATAAGATTACACTCAGCCTCTGAACTTTCCAAGGGAGTCCTGGGGGCAGAGTCTCTCAGGAGGAAAACATCTCTAACAGAAGGGCTGACGGCAGTGTGGATGTTTGGAGGGTGGCGGTGAGCGCTGTGTCAGACAATGACCAAGTGGCTCTTCTTGAGCTTGAGGACAATTTGGTGGATTCCCACAGTGAATAAGCAGTGGTCCCCAAACCGGCAGAAAGAACTCCGGGATGTGTATGATGACACAGATTCCCGGGCCTGAGGTGAGGCTGGGGGTCTGCTTCCTCACTCTGTGATGGGTGAGGCAGAGGCCAACTGGCAACACAAGACTGGGAGCATCACGTAGAGGGGTGAATCCATCACCCCAGCCTCCAGCCCCCTTGCCAGTCTAGGAGGCTGGCAATCCTGAAGGGAGAGAAGGCTTTCCCTCTGGCGGGACCCAAAGGCTGTCCTGGGGATTCCATCTCCCTGAGGGACTCACAGAGGGATCATTGCAGCAGGAGCCTGAGTGCCATCTGAGGGCGGTGTGCACACTGCCCTCCTTTGGGTTTAGGGGCAGACAGAGAGAGACGTCTCCTGCGGGGACTGCTCAGGGCTGCAGCAGCGAGGAACCATCCCTCCTGGAAGGCCTCCCAGAAAGGCCAGGTTCCAGCTGCTGTCACTGGACAGCATCCTGAGTCCACTTCCAAGAAACCACGTGGCCTTAGATGGCAGGGAAGAGTGAGAAGGGACAGTCATGGGCATCTGCTTTGCGGAGGGATCACGTTGCCTGCCTGCTGCCAATGCAAGCCAGTCAGGCATCTGGGAGGAGAAGGCAGGCAGATTTTACATGGAAAAGCTAAACGTCCCTGGAAGGGGGAGGTGCGCATTGGTGGCCAATTTCTGCCAACACCAGGCGGTGCCTAGGTTTCAGCTGTTCTTTCTCCAGATTTCATAGTTCACAGATTTGCCACTGAGCTGATGTGCAATAGTACAAACCTTCTTCCTGGCAGAGTTCTGCCTCCTTCCACCCTCCAGAGTCCTGGTGATGGCTGTGCTCCCCTCCCTGCCACCTGGTGTGGGACACAGTCAGCTTCTCCACAAATAACTGCCATGGAGAAGGACCACATACCTGTCACCTTTGAAGAGTCTGCGACAGCAGATGTTCATCCTGCTCTCTGGGGAGAGGGTGGGGGCTGTCCTGGGAGGGAGCAGGGAGGACACTTACCTTTTTTGCGAAGATGGGGTTGCCTGAGAGCTCAGTGAGGTGTAAGAATTCCAAGTGCAGGGATCCAAACTCTGCCAGGATGCTGCTGCTGCCTGCAGTGGCCCAGCCCCAGCTCCCACTGAAAAGAAAGCAGCAGCCAAGGTCACACCCACCCCTCCCTACTGGCCAGAAGGCTCCTTTGCTGGGAGCAACTGTAACTGTGGGGAGGTGGGGAACCTGCTGTGTGCCAGGCACTGTGCTGGGAGCTTTCACCATGCAATCTCCATCGATCCTCTCTGGCCCCATTTTGCTGATGAGGACACTGAGGTTGGGGATGGGATATGACCTGCTGAAGGTCATTTGAGCCCAGGCCTGTCTGACTCACGTATTGTTTGTTTCTATCAACAAGCTACCCCTGTAAGACTTGGGGTCTTACCTAACCCTAACCCTAACCTTCCCCCTCCTCTCTTCTGCCCTCACTTCCTCATCAGCCCAGTGGGCTGTCTGTGGTGGAGCCCACTGCGGACAGGTGGAGCCTGGAGATGTGGGCAGGTAGTGGCTGGGTGCCTGGCCTCCCCTCGCTTGGCTTCACCTAATACCCCTCAGGTACTAGGCGGGTGCCCTCGGGCAGACTGGTTCATGTCCCTAGAGCTCAAGTTTCCTCATCTGGGAAATTTGGTACCAGTGCCTCATGGAGTTATTGTGAGGTATGAATCATGCATGAAATTATTGTTATTTTTATCCCTATGTAATTATGCACATGTAAGTTATTTGTTTGTTACTATCATTAATATATTTCTAAGATGGGCCAGGTGGCTTTGGTTTCTTATTTGACTGCATATCCATGGCGCTAGATACCTTGTTTTTTATCTCACAGGCAAGGCTACTTAGGATCAGAAAGGTGGGGACACTTTTCCAAGGTCAGTGGAGCTGAATCCAAATCCAAATCTTAGGTACTGTGTCCCAAATGCATGTGCCCTGGGGAGCATCCCAGAGACCAGCTCGTGGAGCCAGTGGGCCAGCAGGTGGTTCTGCCCCCCTTTCCCTCCCCTTCCAGCCTTTTAAGGGCATGAGGACCTGCAGCCTGTGTTCTTTCCCTCCCCGGGCAGGAGGGCTTCTCCATGATGCCTGCTATACATTAGCTAAAGCTTCTCTGTGTGTGGTAGAACCATTACCTCTGGAGCCAGACAGAGGTGGATGCTAATTCTAACTTCATTTGGCTGCTGTGTGACCTCAGGTCAGTTACCACACTTCTCTGAGCCCCAGTTTCTTTACTGGCAAAATGGAGTCCCTGTGGTTGCTGTGAGGTTAAAAAGAAAGAATCCATGTCAGGTGCTCACAATGCGCCTGACACATAGCGTACACTGCATAGCCGCTAGTGGTTACGAGAAGTACATATCTGGGTGTGGCAGGGGGGAGCTGGGTAAATGTGTATTTGTGTGCTGTGTGTGCCTGTGCACAAATGTGAGCACGTCCGTGACAGAGGTAAGCATGTGGATTGGAGCCTCTGCGACTTGCGCAGTGTACATGTATGTGAGACAGGGAGACAGGTCAGGTGCAGAGGTCGGTGGACTGGCCACTGTCCCTGTGCTAGGTATCACAGTGGTCCCTGCAGACCACAGGTTGCGGCAGCCCATTGCCTGCCTGGCAGTGCTGGGCAGGGGGCAGTGAGGGCCCAGTGCCCACCAGCAGGCTCCCTCCAAGGAGCAGACTCAGCCGCACAAGCTGTATCCATCTCTGTATTCCTCCCATTTTTAGCAACAGAAGATAAAAGGGAGACGTTGCCAGGAAATATGCATTTGTGTACAAATGTATACAGCACGGCACCCGCAAACAGCCTAAAAATACTCAATTCCCTCAGCAGATGCTCTGGGCTCCGTGTGGGATGAGGTCGAGCTCTGAGGAACACAGCCCAGGGCTGTCACATAGGGGGCAGGGGTGCCCAGGGAGGTCCTGTTCCAGACCTGGGAGAGCCTGCAGTAGGCTTCACAGCAGCTGGGCATGACTCTGCAGGATCAGCGTGTGTGGAAATGGAGTCTGAGTAAGACCGAGCATAATCCTAGCACGGAGGACAGGACTTCCTCAGCCCCGGTGGCCCTCAGCCTTTGGTGAGATTGCAGTGAGATGGTCCAGACCAAACAGGCCAAGTCATCTCTTGCAGGACAGAGAAGGGGTGCAGAGCTGGTGAGGCTGCAGGGCACAGAGGGAGCCCACTCCCACCATCCCTCTCCAGTGCTCGCTGATCCTCCTGTGGGGAGGAGTGCCCCCAAATGAGGGCTCACTCCAGGAGACGGAACAGGGGCCAGCACAATGGGACTGCTGCAGCCTTCCTCCAGCTTGGTTGTGTCAGAGCGTCTCAAAGATGGCCTTGGAAGACTGATGCTGGCTGGGAACATAGTTCCACACAGCTCAAGGAGAGAGGCAAGGGCTCCTTGAGAGCAGCATTCCTGTCCCAGGCAGAGCTGGGTTCTGGGACCCCTTAGCAGCTCCAGGCACCTGCCTGTGGGGGGAATGATGTGCCCTGGGCTCCCGCACCCTTGGTGGGGAGGTGGCGTGGGGACCCCACCTGGAGGGTCCCGAGTCAAGACATCACTGTGGGATGTGCACATAGGAGCAACTGGCCCCAACCCCGGGAAGGTCAGGCTTTGTGACAAACACCTGTCCAAGAGAGTCCTTGGCTAAGGCTTATTTTCACCATGCAGCTGATTTGCTTTGACTCCCTAAGCGGGAACTGTCCTTTCCTTGTGGCACATCTATAGAAGAACAGGTTTGACAAATATGATCACCAAGGCTCCCTTCTTGCTTGTCTGCTAACTGCCCCTGGGCCTTGTCAGCAGGCCCCATCCAGACAAGACACACGGACCACAGTGGTGTGCAGCCACATGTGGGGAAAGAGACAGTGTCCTACCTTTTGAAGTTCACAACGCCCTTTGGGATTCCTGTGGGGGTGTTGAAGGCTGGCAGCAACTTCTCTCCCAGCTTGATGGCCTTTATTCGGAACACCTGCAAAGCAAGGGTCAGAAGGCACTGAGTCCCGGTCAGTTGGTGTGGTCGCTCCCAGGAGTTGCTGCTGGCAGGGTGAACCTAAGGTTGTGGGCCCGAGTGGGAAGGGCAGTGTGCTGGGCTCTACAGTCAGCCTGGGGGGACCCTGACCCCCTAGTTACTGACTTTGTGGGCTCAGGGGACATACTTCTCTCTGAGCTTCAATTTCTGTGCTCATAAAATGAGGATAGTATTGCCCTCCTCAGAGGGCTATAAATTAGATATTCATTGTAAATCCTTCACCGTAGTGCCAAGACTAGGACAAAGAATTGCCACTGTGACAAGGTGACCATGGAGAACAAGAAGGGAAGGCAGTCAGCTGGTGTGTGTGGTGGTCACTTCCATGTTCAAATGAAGATCTGGCCGAGATGGGCAGGTCCCCAGTGGTCAGAGCTGCCCACTCTGCGGGACCAGGATGTCACAGGCAGAGTGCTATAATGTGGACCTGGAGTGTCCCCCAAGATCCAGGTGACAAAGCTTGGTCTCTACCAAGCTTCTGGGAGTGGTGCTTCTGGGAGTGAAGGAACCTTTAAGAGATGGGGCCTACTGGGAGGAAGTGAGGCTACTGGGAAAAAGTTAGGCCCCTGAAGAGGGTTTTGAGATCAAGGCTCCTTTGTCTGCTTCCCAGCTTCCATAAGGTGAATAGGCCTCCTTGGCCACATGTGGCTGCCATGATGTTCTGTGCCAACACAGGCCCAAAACAACAAGGCCACCCAAACTCTGAAACTGTGAGCCAAAATAAGCCTTTCCTCTTTGTAAGCTGATTATCTCAGGTACTTTGTTACAGTGATGGAAAGCTGACTAGCACTGAGGGTGTGGGAAATGCATAGCATTACTTGGACAGAGTGTAAAGAAGAGTGAACTAGGAGCCAAGGCCACCATCCAATCCAGGTTCCAGAAACCACTACTTCTTGGGCGAGTTTCCGCAGTGAAAATGGGACAAAGGTCTTTCCCTCTGATGCTCAGATGTTGCCCATGGTTCCCATTTCACAGGTGGGAATGAAGGAGAGGTGAATGTCCTAAACCCCTTTATGATATAACCCCCAGAATGGGTTCCAGGCCTCAGGGCCCCTGCCTGAGGCACAATCTTCTCAAACTGTCACTCTGAAATGCCAGATTAATGCAAAAGGACTTCTGACCTTCTGGCTTTCAACACTTTCCATCCTAGCAATTTATTCTCAGGAAATAAATAATCAATAAAGCCGTAAAGCTTTAACTTTATAGCCATTTATTCCAACATTGTTTAAAAGAATGGGGGGAATGGAAATGCTCTCTCAAACAATAGGGAAGTGGTTAAATTATGGCTTTCATGCGATGAAAGCCACTAAAATCTTGTTGTCGAAGAATATTTAATGGCAAAGGAAGGGTTTATAATATACTAAGAGAAAAATATTTCACAACAGTGTAATTCAACTTTTAAAAATTATTTGCACATGGATGCATAAAAAAGGAAAGATCCACTAAAATATTAGCAATGTTCTTCTGGGGGGTTAAATTTATGGACAATGTTTATTTTCTTCTTTTGACTTATCTCTATTTTCTGTGTACTTTATTTTTATTTTTATTTTTGAGATGATGCCTTGCTGGCCTCAAACTCCTGGGCTTAAGTGATCCTCCTGCCTCAGCTTTCAGAGTAGATGGTACTACAGGAACCACTTGCAACTGGTTTGTGCCATTTTTATAATAAAAACCTATAACACAGCTGGCCATCTGTAACCACAGGTTATACATTCACGGGATCAGAAACTGCAGATTGAAAATATTTTTTAAGAAGTTGCATCTGTACTGAACCTGTATAGACTTTTCCTCTTGTCGTTATTCCCTAAGCAATACGGAAGAGGGCATTTACGCTGTGTTCTGTAGTATAAGTAATCTAGGGATGATTAAGGTATATGGAGGATGTTTCTAGGTTCTATGCAAGTACCATGCCATTTTCTATCATGACTTGGGTATCCATGGAGTTGATATCCACAGGGGTCCTAGACCCAATGTCCCTGTATACAGAGGGAGAACTGTACAGGTTATTTATTTATTTATTTATTTTTGTACCGGGGATCAAACTCGGGTCCTTGCGCTTGAGCAGCAGGCAGCGAAACCACTGAGCTAAATCCCTGGCCCTTGTACAGGTTATTTTTAAGAGAGAAGCTACAAGTCTCTAAACAACATTGCCAATGGGGAAACAGCCTGTCTTCTCACTTCTGTGCTCTGGAGTGATCCAGTTTGCTGACCTCCTGTGGTTGTAAAACAAAGCTTTCTTGAGTCCTCCCACCACCTCCAGCTGAAGCCTGCTGAGGCAGCTGGTCAGGGGATGCAGTGGGGATGGATTTCTAAACCCTCTGAACTTGGGTGTGAGTTTGAGGCCTCTGACGGTGGGTGGCTCTCTTACTATGGAGGGCAGAGAGCTGTGCTGGGGCTGGCAGCCCTGGATGGGAGAAGAGGAGACTGTCCAGCACCAGACAACTGGTCCAGGGGCTGGGCACATGGGAACCTAAAGACTCACAACACCCCGGAACTACAGGTCTGCCCTCTGGGGGACTGCTGTGCTCTGCCAGGTTCAGACTGCATGGATAGGCACAGAGCCTGCCCACCTCGGGCACCGGCTGCTCGAGCCTCTCTTTGAGCCCATTCTCAAGTCACAAGTGCCCCTGTCTACAGCCACCTGCTGGGTGTACATCCTGGTCCTTTCTAAGGAGTCAAGGGCTCAGAACTACAGATGCCCTCAGAGAAGGGATGGGAGGTCAGTGGGTCATCTGAGGAGCCACCTGCTTTTTCCTGGGTCGATGACCCCCAAGCCAATCCTGTGAGGCTTAAGCAGCATCCCGTCCCTGTCCTGCATCCCATCCTCCCAGCCACAGCCAGCAGGGAGGCTGGGTGACTGCCTGTAAACCACATGCCTGTCTTTCTCTGCAATGCCTGTCATTTTCCTGTCCTGGGGTTTTCAAATAAGATTCAGGCTCTGGGAGGCTCCAAGCTGAGGGCTTCCATCTATAATTTTTTTTGGACAAATCGGTACAAGCAATAATCTCTGCTGAGGAGACTGTGCCAGATGGAGAGTGACCCGAAGCAACTGGGGAGATAAAGCTTGTGCGTGCTGTCTCCAAAACCCCAACTTCAGCCCACGCTGCTGGAACAGCTGAAGGGAGATGGAAATGACTTTCTGGACAGCAGCGGTGGAGGGAAGAGGGATTTTCTGCAGCTCCTCAGGCAGTGGGAGGCAGGCATAATTATTTGTCTAAGGGTGGACTGAGCTGAGGGGGAGCAGGACAGGAAAGGCTGAAGTGTCCAGCCCCACAGCGGCAGCTGTACTGGGCAGAGCCACCCTCTGGGTCACAGGAGACAGAACTGACTGATGACCTGTGTTCTGGGGACTGTGCCAGCCTTGCCACTGGATACCAGGGCTTTCTTGTTCCAGGAGCTCACGAGGAGGGATGAAGAAGACTCCCTTTCTACAGAGCACTGTTGTTCAGAGTTCTCTGGTAGAGGAGACTATGTGCTCTGGAGCCACTGGCCCTGGCCAAACCCTTCCCTTGCATCCCATTTCACAAGAGCCCTTTGACCTAAGGGGCGTTGTGACCACCCCACGCTGGGGAAGGAGGGTGGCACAAGCCAGTGAGTGTACGTGGGCTTCTGCCTTCCTGCCTCTCCTGCTGGAAGCCAATAGGGCTCACTGGAACAAGGCCTTGCTTGCACTTACAACCTGGGACTAGCAGTGGCCGTCCCACTGCCCTGCTAGCTCCTTGGGACTTACAATGGGTGTCTGGGCCAGGACGGAAGAGTGAGGGTGACTATGGAGCAAGACAAAGCCAGGGCCTCAGGGACAGAACGGTGAATAACAGTGGCCTTGGCTTTGCCAGGCCTGAGAAGGAACACCTGTAGAAACCAGCCCAGGTTTGCCAGGTGCTATGCATTCGGGGCTCTGAGTGGACACAGTTGTTGTTCTCAGAAAAATCACTACCAGCTGCAGGAGCCAATCAGACTCCTCTCGGTAGCAGAATTGAGGTGCGGAGAGGAGGGGAGGAGGAGGAGTCTCCAGGTGGTACTTGGGAAACTGGTCCTTCTGGGTGCTCATGGGTGGCCCCAGGCAGGTCCTGCCACCTCGAAACCTTGTTTTCCCATTAGCGAGAGGAGGGGGCAGGATTAGGTGCTTTCCAGAGCCCTTTCCAGCCTGGACAGTCCTGGGTCTCCAAGGGCCCACTCACCTCCTCTCCCGTCAGGTAGTAGGCTGAGAGGAGCCCTCCGATGTAGCGAATGTTCACCTCAAACAAGGACGCTTCTCCACTCTGCAGGACAGCAAGCAGGAGAAGGGACAGTGAGGACACTTTGGACAGGGAGGTGCCCACAGCACTCCAGGAGGCACTGAGGTCAACACCCTTTGCCCCTGCCTCACAGTGTACACCTGTGCCCCATGCTGGGGGTGTCCTAGTTGCACCAGGCCACACTCAGTTTTCACAGCAAAAGTTGAGAAGCTTTAGTGCGGGCCTGGTGGCCACTTACAACATTCCAAATAAACACACACTTTGGCTTTCTTCCCCAGCCCTTGCCGGAGGCCATCACAGCAAAGCTATGCCTGGCTGCGCCCCAAGGAGCTCAAGAGCCTGGTAGGGAGCTGCCGGCTGGAGCTTAGCCTGAGGGGAGGCAAATCCTCCTCCAGTTGGGCTACCACCCCCATCTGGCTTAGCAAGAGAACCAGAAAGGCCTTACCCTGGGGTGGTAGACAGCACAGGGCCAGGGCTAAGTGGAGGTGCCAGGCAGGTGTGTATGTAGCTGGGGTGACCTGCACTTTCTTGGACCTCAGCTCAGGTTCTGCAGGGCATGCTCACACCTGGCCTTCATCATTATTGTTTTCCTTCTTAAATTGGGACCGAAAATCAGGGGTGTGGAGGCATTATGCCAAGGAACAGATTCAGGTTAAAAATTCCACCTTGGGCACTTATGTGGCTTTGGGACTCGAGGCAAGACATTTTCCCTGTCCTTGCCTGAGTCTCTTCATCTGCAGAACGAGGCTGACACCTACTCCCATACAGTGCATAGGCTGTAGGTGAGACATCAGCCCAGAGCTGGGCATGGCTTTCATAAAGGTGCCTGTTGTCTCCTCCTTTACCTGAAGGGGCTCCCCTGGATCACCATTTTTATTACTGATAGAAACAACCATTATTGGATAATCTGGAACTTTTCCATCAGCAAAGCACAAAGTTGATCTCCCTTCACCCTCCCCGTGCTCGTGAGATCATCTCCATTTTCTAGAGAAGAAAGCCACAGTTCAAAGAGGTGGCCCTGCCTTGCTTTCTTCCAAGGACTCTCCCTAACCTGCTCCAGTGTGCCGGAATGTCCCCAGGCTCCCTGGCCATGCTGCTGTCCATTCTCAGCCCAGAGGAGCCAGGGTCTGCACAGAGGGACAAGGCAGGACTGTGGACATATTCCTTCTGCCCTCCTGTCTCTGCGTCTCTCTAGTCCACAGAGGAGAGGACTCTCAGCTTCCCTGGACCCCTGGGAATTTCATCTAGCCTCAGGATAATCCTGGTAATTATGACGATGAGGATGCCGCTCTACATCTGTGTCAGACTTTCTAGTGTCATTAAATGTTTCTACAAGCTTCCATTGTGTTTAATCCTCACAATAAATCTACAGACCGGGCATTGCTGCTGCTGTTCTCATCATTCTCTTGGTATAATGTGGAGACTGGATCCCAGGGAGGCCGAGTGCCTCTGCCCAGGCCTGCCCCAGGCACTCCTCTGTATGGTGTCTTCTCCACCCAGCTCTGTGCTGGCAAGCTGGCCCCACAGAAGCCGAGGCCTCCTTTCTGCCGGGCTGTAGGAGCTGTCCCCAGGACCCTGTGCCTCAGGACCTGTCACTTGTGGAGCTTCACACAGAGCCCCGCAGCACATCTGGCTGTGACCCACCTCCCCTCCCACCATCTCCACTTCTTAATCCCCAAATCCACAAATGTGGTCTCTCCTGATGGTGAGCTGAGACCTCCAGCACAGATCACTGCTTTAGCCTGGGCCGTGAGATCAATGGGGCAGACCTGGCCTTCAGGGCTTTTGTGCCATCCAGACACACTGCTGTCCCCTCTGTGAGGCCCTGGCCTTGAGTGGGATCCCTGTAAGAATGGAAACCAGAGGATCCTAGCTTGTTGTGGATCCCTGACCAGCTGCCATTCCACACTCATCTCAAGAGAGCAGCTCAGGGTGCTCGAGGATGAAACAGCTCTAGGCTGGGCCATGTTTCCTCTCCACAAAGCCATTTCCCCCTTGCTGCTATAGCTGCTGCTTTGTGTGATAGATCAGCCCTGGAAGGGGGGTCCTGGCTGTGAGCAATGAGCCTGGGATGAGTTGCAGCTGATCTGGTGGGGAAGGAAGGGATGGTGGTGGCTGTCTTCCCTCCCAGGGGAGGGTGCCTGGCTTGGGGGATGTCATCACCTCAAGGCTGATCTTAAGGAGGCACTCAGCGTGGAGGCAATACAGCCCTGTTTCTGGGAGTGCTCTTCTGTGCAGCCATTGGCAAGGCCCTTGATATCTCTGGGTCCCAGATCTCAGGGCAAATCTGGCCACTGGCACCAGAGGGGCTCTGACTCACCACGTTCAGGTGGAAGCTCTCTTCCACCCAGGCCTTGGCCTCCTGGAACTCCTCCTTCAGCTCCATGAGGTAGAGGGTGTCGAGGGAATCAATGATAGTTGCCCCACTGAGGCCACCTGCAGGCACAGGGAATCAATTGGGGTGACCCAGGGTCTTTCTTATCCTGTCAGCCCCACTAGACAAGCCACCATTCTTCAACGCCACCCCCCTGCCCCCATGCCTGGGCAGTTTCCAACGTACCATCCAGTGCCACCAGCGAGGTGAGGGGGACCCAGTGTCCTCCCACAGGCTGCAAAGGTAGGGATGAGAGACTCAGTGCTGGCAGAGCCAGTTTCCAGTCCCTGGTCCACTTCTCTATGGGCAGGGGACACTCAGTGCCCACTGGGCACCCACCATTTTCCTCTGTGTAGCAGACTAAAGCCCCAAGCTACGTACCAGTCTCACAACTTGTCCATTCCATTCCCCATTTTATTGTGGGAGAAAATAAAGGTGTTTGTAAACACTTTCCCAGGAAGGTATTTGCTGCAGTACTGTATACTATAATGGGGAAAAACTCCAACACCTACAGTAAAGGATTAGTTATATAAATTATGGCTGGGACATAAAACAGGATGTCATGTAGCCACCCACACGGGTGAGGCAGACTGGTGTTTATTTACTTGGAGAAATAGTCCTGGGATCCATTAAAAAAAGAAAAACCAGCACAGTATAATTTCTTTGTCGTGTGACCAGAAGAGCCTAGCAGGGTGATTTCTAGTGGTTGTCTCTGAGGGCTGAGAATATAGGTGCTTTTTTATTTCTTCAGCTCTGGGGTTATTTTTATAGCCAGAAACTTATTTCCATTAAAACAGAGGACATTTTGGGTAAAGAGGCCAAACAAATGCACAAACCAAAAATGTCATGGCCATGGTCACTCTAGGTCAGCCAGTGCACCAAGGAGGAGTCATATACCTGTCCCTGCCACCGGCTGTCAGATTCTGGTCCTGAGAGTAAAGACTAAAACCATTGTGCAAAATGGTATTTTCCACACTGTGACTGAGGCAGGAGAGTAACGAGGGAGACCTGGAGGATGGGGAGGGTGATGTGACCAGCACCAGCTGGGGGGCTTCCTGGAAGAGGTGGGGATTTACCACCAGTGTCACTGCAGGCGGCAGCAATTTCCTTTTCAGAGCGGAGGGCAGTGGTGCCTCAGTATTCTTACATAGATTGGTTCCAGAATACTCGGGGATGCTAAGATCTGTAGACGCTCAAGTCCCTTATATAAAATGGTGTCATATGTGCATATAATCTATGTGTGTATCCTCCGTGGACTTTAAATCATCTCTAGATTATTTAGGATACCAAATACAATGTAAATGCCATGTAAATAGTTGTTATACTGTATGAGCTAGAGTATAACAAGAAAAAAATCCAGATGTGATTTTTCTTTCAAATATTTTTGGTTTGCAGTTGGTTGAATCCACTGATGTGAAACATGGGGCTAGAGAGGACCCACGGTATAGCCAGCCCTAGGAGGAAGATCTCCCCCTCTGCCCTTGCAGAGGCTCAAAGTGTTATGAGTCACAGGCTTTGCCCTCTAGAGTGGAAACTCTAGAGGGGCTGAGAGTAGCTAAGAGCCACCGAGTCTGGGCACCTCCTGCATTCAGAGTTGTCTTCTAGGCTCTTCAGCTAAGGGGCTCCCTAACTGTTCACTTGTGTGGACTTTATAGACAGAATCCATGGCCAGGCAAGGTTTGACAAAGGGCATGGCCTGGAAAAGAACTGAGGAGATGGAGCAGGACCATGTCACCAGAAGGGGGAGCTTGCCAGGGAGAGAGGACTAGGAGAGGAGGGTGGGGTAAATCACGAGTCCAGATGGCTTAGGCATTAGGGCCGAACTTCTAGAAAGCGAACTCCTCCTATACTTAAGGACTGCTAGGAAACACACCCCAAAGCCAGATAGCGTCTCCTTTCCTGGTCTGACCCAGCTCCTGGCCCTACAGGTGTCTGGCTAGACAAGGTTTCCGGGAAAGACTTTACCCTGGCTTGGGCCTCAGCAGGATAGAGAAGGCTGAGGCAAGCCCAGGGCAAGGGACCGTGGCCTGGAGCCCATGCCTGGCTCTGCTGCTGGGGCCCTGCCTATTACAATGCAGAGCCGAGAACCTGATGATTTAAGGGCCTGGACAGATTTTCCAGGTCCTTCCTCTCACTGATGAGGCCCCCAGTGAGGCAATGGGATGTGCCCAAGATGAGAGTGAGGGAGGACTGGGCCGGCCCCAGCCAAGTGTGATGTGTTCCCCTGCACATGTGGCCTCTCACTTCTGCACAAACAATCTTGGATCTGACTGTGTGCCCCACCCGTGCCGATCAGTTACAGTTTAAGTCTCAGCTGCGTGTCCTGAAGGCAGGGAGAGGCAGCCCATAGTATCTGATTTCTGAATACTGCCCTGGGCTCTCTGTCCTCTGGGCCAGGCCAGGATGGCAGCCAGGGCTCCTCGTGACCAGCTCTGCCCCATGATATCTCTGGGGACACCCAATGTGGCTGGATGATGGGCAGCTCACTGAGTTTATTGGCAAGGTCTTGCCCTGCTCTTGGCTCCTGGATCCCCCTCTTGGTTGCTCTCCGCTCCAGTCCCTCCCCCGACCCAGCACATGACTGGGCTGTGGTCCAGCAAGGCAATTACTGGAAAGCCTGTCATTTCAGGCCAGAGGCCACCCAGTGGACAGGCAGGGCAGCAGTGAAGGCCCTGACTCAAATCCAGTCCTATCTCCAACCTGGGGCAGCCCCCCAGGTTAAAAGACACACATCCTTTAGCAAGCAGGTCTATGGCTTATATGTGAAGCACAAATAGGCCTCGAAGGCAGCTAGGATCCTTCCCTGTGGCCAGAGCTGGGGTGGGTTTGGTGTTGGCCCACTGTCCCAGTTCCAGCTTGCAACCAGTTCACAAAGGACACCCCTGCCTACTTCCTTCTAGCGCCGGAAGCAGTGAGGAATGTTAGAACACAGGCTCAGGAATCAGACAGCTTTGGGTTCAAATCTCAGTGTGGGTCAGTTCAAGTCTGCTCTGACCATCAAAGTTCTCATCTGTAAAATGAGGTTAAGACCACTGGGCTACGGCACTGGCGAGCCAGGATAAACCCATCGGATACACGCCTGGCATAAACACATATCTGACAAATACATCTGTACCTGCTTGGCACAGACTAAGCACTTGATCAATCAGTTTACTGTCCTTATGTCTGGGGCTCCTTGGCTCACCTTGAAACTGTGGCCTGGACAGGGAATGGGAAAAGGCAATGAAGTATGGGAGACTTTTCTGGCTCTTCCCTTTGGAAGGGAAGAGGATACTTTTGCCTTCCTGTCCTGACCTTTGGCTACTGAACAAACCTTTCTTCAGACTCACACAGCAGGTAAGAGGCTGGCTTTGGTGTAGGGAGACACAAGTTCAAATCCTGGCTCCATTACCTGCTACCTGTAGCTGAGACATCTCATTTTATCTCTCTGAGCCTCATTTCTATTAATGCAAAACGGGGATAACTGTGGAACCTATCTTCTAAGGCTTCTAGGGCACTGGATGGACAGGAGTTGGCACAAATATTGACCCCTGACCTGGCCTTGATCCCCTCTTAGCTTTGTCTTCTGTTCCCTGGTGCATCACACTCTGGTTCCCTCCTAGGCCCTGAGAGGTGTGGGTTGCTCTGCTGACCTTGCCTCCCCTCCCCTCTGTACTTTCCCTCCCCTCTGCTTTCCTCACAGCCATGTTACGTGATTTGCCTTGTCTGTTTGCCATATATTCCCACATTCTCCATGGCCTAGAACACTTTCCAGCCCATAAGTATTGGGGAATAAAGGCCCCGGCCCTGGCGGGAAGGTCTTCCTGGGGGGCTGTGGCTTATTCCCATTTCTCAGTGCCTGGATACAGTCTGGGGGTCAGGGATGTTGAAGGTAAATATTTCAAGTTGAACAAACTAAGCCTACTGTGTGGGCATCAGTAATGATCATGTCCAGGGCAAGGTTAACATTTTGGTTCAGGGGCTAGTCCCCATCAACAAAGAAGACTTCTTCCTAGCTGTGGCCAATCTGGTCAGGGTGACCAAGGGCACCAAAACCTTTCATTTGCTGGTCTCTATGAGGGAGTGAATCCTCCGCTCCCCTGGGCCGCCCAGCAGGAGCTACCTACCCTCCTGGACTGCAGTTCAAATCTATTCTATTGACTCTGCCATGTAAAGATGATGATATTTTTATGCAATGTTATATTAGTGAAGAGAAATGGGTTGGGCTGGGCAACTCTAGCTCTGGGAAGAACATTTAGAGGAAAAAAAAATCACCCAAGGCGTAGCCTATTACTACAGTGTCCCCAGAGTCACACACGAAAGGCTGCGTTTAATTTAATGATATAATCCACAGAGACCTTTCTTAGTCTGTAAAGAAACAGCACAAGTGTTTTTCTCAGCCTACAAAGAGACCAATGTGGCTGCGTGGCAGACTGTATTTTCAAAGATGGCGATCATACTATCTCCTACCCTACAAGGGTCTTGTGTCATGCTCCTCCTGTGGCTCCTTACACTTGGGCCAACCACGGGACTACCTAGGCCAAGAGAATAAAGCAGAGGCCCAGACCTTAAGAAACTGGCAGCTGGGCCAGGGATTTAGCTCAGTGGTTTCGCCACCTGCTGTGCGAGTACAAGGACCCAAGTTCGATCCCAGGTACCAAAAAAAAAAAAAAAAAAAAAGAAAGAAAGAAAGAAAGAAACTGGCAGCTCCTCTTTCTGCCTCTCAGAGTCAGCCACCATGCTGTGGGGGAGGCCAAGATAGCTCACCAGCACACACCGGGGGCTGTCCCCTGGCTGGCAGTCCCACTGGAGGTTCTGCATCCATTCCAGATGTGTAGACAGAAAAGCTTCCAGATGATTCCTGCCCCTAGGTGTGGAGTCAGACTCAGCCCCTTAGCCTCCCCAGCTGAGGCCCACACACTGGGGTACAGGACGAGCTGGACCACACATGTTCCTTTTGAATTCCTCACCCACCTAATCTGTGAGCATCATCGAAGAACTGTTTTAAGTTTCAGAGAAATTTGTTATGCAGCAATAGCACCTGGAATGTTCTGCCACTTGGGTTCTTGGAAGATTAATTAAA